AAAAAAAAAATTCCATTCTCTTAAAATGCTATTCCTTTTGTCTATATTTAAGCTCCTAAGTGACAATGATTTAGTCGTCCTCACCTGGTCATTCATCCAATACTTGTCTATATTTCAGGTCGTTCTGACATCCAACTGAATAACAAATCTCTCTTAACATGTTAATGTATAACTAAGATACAATTTTAAAAGGCACTATCAGGGATATTTGTATGTTAAACGTAGATTCCCTTTTTTTTGGTACTGGGGATCGAACTCAGGACCTTGTGCTTGCAAGGCAGGCAGCGAAACCACTGAGCTAAATCCCTAGCCCTTTAAAAGTAGATTCTCAATAACCAGTGTCTGCATTTCCAACCTAAGATGTTTTACCTTTATCAGCAGAATGGCATAGAGGAAGGTGGTACAATCAGCAGAGGAACTAATGCTTTGCAGTGCACCCTTGAGTTACGACCAGCCTGGCATACGAACAACTTCGGTTACAACCAGAATTTTAGTTTTAACTTATGAGCAAAGTCTTGAGTTATGACCTGAATGCTGGCTGCTTGTGCATCCAGATCTCAACCTTTAAAGAGTTCTGGAAGGAACATTACAGCATCATTTCCTATGTGGGGTTAATTGAGAAATCCTGGTCCAGTGTCTCCCTAAGGACACTGAGATCTGCCTGTATACAGGAGAGAGACTTTGAAGGCTGTGTAGAGGAGCCTGAGCCTTCAGTTGACCAACTTGAGTTATAACCAGCCCTGGGAACAAATTGAGTTCATAAGTCAAGTGTCTATTGTACAGAACTTATCTATACATACATGTCTAGTTTGAGACTTTTTTCCAGCAAAGCCACCTAGCCTTGGAGATTTCATTGAGGGAAGGTGTTGTTTGTTTTAAATTTTAGATTCACTTTCTTTTCGTGCACACAGCATTATTTGGATGTTGTATGTCATGTTGCAAATTTCCTTTTCCCCTAATGTATTACTAGGATGTGTAGTAGTCTCGTTTTATCATCTCTGAGGTTCGTTGTGACTTTTTCCCCCCTATTTTGGTCATACTGAGGATTGAACCCATGGGCCTTATGCATGCTAGGTGAGTGCTCTACCATTGAGCTATATCCTCAGCCCTTTTTACTTTGAGAAAGGGTCTCACTAAGTTATCTAGGCTGTTTTGAAACTTGTGATCTTCCTGTCTCAGTCTCCTGAGTAGCAGTGATTATAAACGTGTGCCATCATGTCTGGCTTCAATTTTTTCTTGATTTATTCTTGCTAAAATTCTGTCCATTTTATTATTTTTTACCACAAATCATGGCATCTGTTTTGTGTGATTTTTTTAAATTAATAAACTTCATTTTATTTTATCCCATTCCACCCTCAAGACCCCTCCCCTCCTTATGTACAAAAGTTTTCTATTTTTTCCTTCTATTTTCACTTTTTTTCTTGTTCCTTCCTTCCTTTCTCCCCTCCTCTCTTGTTCCTCTTCCCATTTGAACACTTTCTTCCCATTTTCTAACATCCGTTATACACCTCAGTCCTCAGTCCTTATTTCCACTTTTGGTTTCTCACACCAGAAAAACAATGCAGTATTTAAACATGTGTGTCCAATATATTTCACTTAAGAGTGTGGTCTCAAGGTGCACCCATTTAGCTATAAATGTCTGAAGTCATCCTTCTTTATGGCAGAGTAGTACTTCATTGTATATATTAAAAAAAACCCCACATCTTTATCCACTCATCAGTTGATGGGCATTTGGGCTGCTTCCAAGATTTAGCTATTACAAACTGTGGTGCTGTAAACATTGGGGTGCATATTTATCGCTGTGGTATGATTAAAATAAATTTTTTTTACGCTTTTAATTCTTTCGGGAAGATACCAACAAAAGAGGTATTGCTGGGTCAAGTGGAACCTCTAGTTTTAGTTTTTTGAGAAATCTCCACACTGATTTCCACAGTGATTGTTTTTGTATGATTGTTTTCCAATTCATTAGTGTTTACTTTTGATTGATTTTTCTCTTCCCTTCTTTTTCTCTATGCTGTTTTCTTCTTGAGATGAAAGTGTTGATCACTGATTGTTTTTCATTGCTCCTTTTATAATATTACACAAGTTTTAGTAGTTGGTATCTTCATTATCATTTGCTTCAAAATATTTTCAAATTTCCATTATGATCAATTTCCATTATTGGAAATTAATGGATCAATTGATCTATTATATGATCAAATTTCCATGATTGATGAATTGAACTTCCCTATTCATTTATTTATTTATTTATTTAGTACCAGGGATCAAACTCAGGACCTTACGCTTATGAGGCAGGCAGTGGAACCACTGAGCTAAATCCCTGACCCTCCCTATATATTTAAAGAATAAATAAAAATAGTCTATTAAACTTTCCATATAATAGGAAAAAAGTTCACCTCTCAATTTAAGTCAGCATAACCTTAATACTAAAACCTGACAAGGTTGTCTTAAGTTAAAACCAGTTACTTTCATATGTCACTTCAGAATATTAAAATAATATAACAGCATGTCAAATACAGCTATATGTAAAACAACTGTGACCAAATTGGTTTTATTTTAGAAATACAGACTAAATTAGACTTTGAGTATAAAATTAGAAATCAGCCAGTGGGATTCACTATATTAGCATAATTAGAAAATATCATTTCAGTGGGTGTCAAATAGGTGATAAAATTGAACACTTACTCGTAATAAAAAATTTTGGTAAATGGTTGCACACCTCAAGGGCAGGTGTGTGGCACCTACCTTTAATCCAAGCACTTGGAGAGGCTGAGGTAGGAGGATCCTTTCCAGTCTGAGGCCATCCTAGGCCACTTTGTGAATTCAAGGCCCAGCCTGAACTACATAATAGTGAAACTCTGTCTCAAAAAATTAATAAAATAAAATAAAATAAATGGATGTAATTCAAGACCATAAGCCTAAGTGAAATAAATCAGACACACAAGTTTAAATATCACATTGTTTCTATTATGGGAGAAACCCAAAGTATACATAAGGAGCAAAATAGAGGATAGATATTAGGAAATAGGAAGAGTTTTTTCAAATGGAAAGTAGAACAAGAGATGGGGGGAAAGATTTTTAAAAAAGGAAGAAAACAAAAATAGCTTTTTCAAATTGGATGGGGAAGAAGGGTTAGAGCAAGGGAAGGGGGAAGGGACAAAAAACAAGATACATTATGTGTGAGCACAAATTCCTCATGAATGTGATCATTATATACTGTAAACATGTACTGATTTAAAATGCTAATGAAAAAATTTTGGTAAAACTACATCTTCAGTATTTCATAATAAAAAACAGTTTAAATTATGATTTTACAGTTTAGGTAAATTATATAGTTCAAGCTGGCTTTGAACTCACTGTGTAGCCCAGACTGGCCTTGAACTCATGGCAGTCCTCCTGCCTTAGCCTTCCAAATGCTGAGATTATAGACAGGTGCCATCACACCTGGCTTTTTATGCTGATTGTGAAATGTGCACGTGTGAGGCTGGGATATAGCTTTTTAAATGTTTATTTGTACATGTCTGCAGTGCACAATAGTTACTTTCATGGGGGGTGGTATATGTATGTAACACATCCTACTGCTTTTTACTTCTCTTCGCCCACCCTTCCCTCTACCCTACCTCTTTGTGATACTTAATGGTAGAGCACTTGCCTGTTATTGTATGTGAAGGGATTTGGGCCTGATCTGGGCAACTAAAAAAAAAAATTCAAAAATAAATAATGCATTTGTTAATTTTATAACCACTAATAACAACAGAGATTATTTGTAACTATAACTTTTTGTGGGGGGGCATGGTTTACCCCTGTGCCGGGAATCCATCTCAGGACCTTGTGTTACCAGGCAGGCACAGTGCTGCTGAGCTACATCTTCTACCCATAACTTGGTCTTTTGAGACAGGGTCTTGCTTACGTAGTTCAGGTTGGCTTTGAATTCATTGTAAAGCCCAGCAGAACCTCACAGGATCCTTCTTCCTCAGCCTCCCAAGTGGTATGATTACAGGCATGCACCATCATTCCCAGCTCTATACTATAATTAAAATCTTTAACCAGCTGGGCATAGTGGTGCACGCCTGTAATCCCAGCACTCAGGAGGGTGAGGCAGGAGGATCCCCGTGAGTTCCAGGCCAGCCTGGGCTACATAGTGAGTTCAAGGCCAGCCTGAACTAATAGGGAGACCTTGTCTCAAACTAAAAAAAATAAAAACAAAAATCTTTAACCAGAAGTACAACTATATGAACATATTTGAAACATAGCTTTCTATTGTGAAATACAAATCCCATTAAGTACAAATGAAATAGTCATAAGGATCCTAGAAAGCAGCTTTGGTTTTTTTTGTTTGTTTGGTTTTTTTGGTACCTGGGATCAAACTTGAGTCCTTGCACTTTCGAGGTAGGCAGCAGAACCACTGAGCTAAATCCCCAGCCCAATAAATTAATTTTCTGGTAAATATGGGGCCAAGAACTTTTACCTGGGATAGATATTATGCGAATAACGAAGGCCAGATCCAGTGACACACACCTGTGTTCCCAACTACTCGGGAGGCTGAAACAGGAGGATCACTTGAGCCTGGGAATTTAGGGCCACCCCAGGCAACATTCTGGGAAGCCCCCATCCCTCTTTTCTTTTTTTTTTTTTTTGGTACCGGGGATCGAACTTGAGACCTTGCGCTTACAAAGCAGGCAGCAGAACCACTGAGCTAAATCCCCGGCCTCCCTCTTTTCAATAAATGAATAAGGACATAAGTTCTTCAAAAATCTGGTGTTAATACAGATAATGTGTCTTTGAATAATCTAAACTTGTTTATAGGAGTTTTTTTGCCAGCAGTGAAATTATATGTATGATCTTTTCTCAAATTCTTGAAGATTTACAAAAATTTTGATTTTGAACCCTCTTATAGTAATTAATTACTAGCCTGTGTTGTAGTAAAGATAGGATTTTTCTTCTAGTGACTACTAAGTACCATGAGTTAATTATATTGTTCTTTTATATCTGTTTTACAGATGGTAGTGAAAACTTTCATGGATATGGATCAGGACTCAGAAGATGAAAAACAGCAGTATCTCCCACTAGCCTTGCATCTTGCATCTGAATTCTTCCTCAGGAACCCTAATAAAGATGTGCGTCTCCTTGTAGCATGTTGTTTAGCTGATATATTTCGAATCTATGCCCCAGAAGCTCCATATACTTCCCATGATAAACTTAAGGTAAATATAATCTTTACAAAATCATTTTACTTTTATATTTATATTGTAGCTTACCTGTATGAGCAAGTTTCAAGTTATTATTCTTGTCATTTAAGATTATGGGTTGGGTTTGTAGTTCAGTAGTGAAGTGGTTGGCTAGTATGTTTTAGGCCCTGCGTTTGATTCCCAGACCACAAAAAACAAAACAACAGAAAAGCTAACCAAGCACCAACTTCAAATAGCATATTCTCAGAATTTCAGTGTTAATTTAAAAAAAAGAAAAGAAAAACATTATATCATAATATTTTGGGTTATTTTGTTGTTTTGTTTTGTTTTGTTTTGTATTTGAGACAGGGTCTCATGTAGTTCAGACTGGCCTTGAATTCATTATCTAGTCCAGGCTGGCCTCAAACTAACTGCAGTTATCCTGCTTCAGCCTTCCCAGAGCTGGCATTACATACAGGTGCACCATCATGCCCAGCTATCCATATCATAAGTTTTAAAACTTCATTATTTCGATCATAATATTTATTATCTACAAAAATAACTGGTATATTTATAAGGCATTAAAGAGGTCGTTGTGTTCAGTGTATTTTACTTAACAATGACCCCAAAGCATAAACTTTTTAAGACAGTATATTGTTTTAGTTCTATTTTTTTCTTGCCATATTGGGGGAATGAACCCAAGGCCTTTGCACTGAGCTACATTCCCAGCCTCTTATTTTGAGAAAAGGTCTCACTAAGTTGCCCAGGCTGGGCTGGAACTTAGTGATCCTCCTAGAGTGTTAGGGGTACAGGCATGTGTCATCACGCCTAATTGTTGTTCTATTAGCTGTTATTGTTACTCTCTTATTGTGCCTAACTTAAAAGTTACACTTTATCATAGGTATATATTTATAAGGGAAAAAAACCAGTATATGTTGAGTTCAGTGCCATCTGTAATTTCAGGCATCCACTGGGGATCTTGGAATGCATCCCTTCTAGACAAGAAGGGATTAAAGTAGCGCAAAAATCTTTTTGTGCCATGTTTATATTACTTTGAAGTTTTTTTTGAGGGGGTACCGGGGATCGAACTCAGGTCCTTGCACTTGTGCAGCAGGCAGCGAAACCACTGAGGTAAATCCCTAGCTATATTACTTTGAGTTTTAAAACTTCTGGAGAAAGCTTATTAAGAAATAGACCAATCGGGCCGGGGATTTAGCTCACTGGTTCTGCCGCCTGCCTCGCAAGCAGAAGGTCCTGAGTTCGATCCTTGGTACCAAAAAAAAGAAATAGACCAATCTATTGTCTTTGTTTCATATAGCCTTGAAATCAGATAACAAATTCAAAACTAGGTGCCGAAAATTACTCTGTACACACAGGAATTATTAATAAAGACTCATCTCCTTAGAAATAATATAGTTGTTTGCTATGATGGAAGGTGAGGGTAACGAGAAAAGTGGAAGTGCTATAATAGAAAAAATGATAATGAGGTATATAAACGCTGTATTCTTAGAATAAGAAAGCCTAAAGATTTATAGAAAGAACAACTTTTATTTTTATTTTTGCTCTTAAAAGATATGGTTTTATTTTGTAATGATTTTAAATAATGGAATAGGCCAGTCCCAAAGCATTCAGCTAAAGAATGATCCTCTTTTATTAAGTCTGTATGTCATGAAAGAATGATAAGAATTTGTATCTAAATTAATGTTTTATTATTTTTTTAACAGGACATATTTTTGTTTATTACCAGACAATTAAAAGGTTTGGAAGACACAAAGAGTCCACAGTTCAATAGATACTTTTATTTATTAGAGGTAAAAGCAATACTTTATTTAATAAATAGCATATTATTTCACATAGTAGGAAGTTCTTTATACCAACTTTATAATGTAAAATGAAACTTTTTTGTTTTATTCAGAATGCAGTAGTAAAATATATTTCCGCAAAGAAAATATAATCTTAACTATTATTCCTCATATTCTGAAAAGTTATTCTGCTGAAAAAATGTTAGATTATTTGAAATTCTAGCTCTTCTTTTCTCCTGTTTTTCTAATCTCTAAGATGTTCACTGCTTAAATTTTGTATATATCTATATATCTACATATTACTATATACCTATGTATGTCTATCACCTCCTAAATATATGGTATTGATCAATTTAGAAAAATTGATGCCCTTGGGTTATGTCTTCTTAAGGATAAGAGTAAACAACTAGCTTTACACTTGTAATTTTGTATGTTGAATCTTTAATGTAGATTCCTAATTAAAAATTAAATTTTACTAATGAGTTTGCTTTTCTGTCACTGTTCTGTACATTTCTAATTAAATAATTATTTTTATTTGTTGAAGAATTTAGCTTGGGTTAAATCATATAACATCTGCTTTGAATTGGAAGATTGCAATGAAATTTTTATTCAGCTTTTTAGGACTCTCTTCTCAGTGATCAAGTAAGTTCTTATTTAAGCATGTCTGCTTATCTTTTTCTTGCTGCGTATATTGAAATGTCATGTACTGTGTATATGTGTACTAAAATCGTTTAGAATTGTATGGAATTGTTTTTCTTAGAATACTTAATATGAAGTGGAAAAGAAACAATTCTGTTCCCAGAAAGCTGTCTTTGGTATGAATTTAATGGTTGACTCGTCTGTCCCTTGCTCTGTGTGGGTGGCTATGGGATAATAGTGAAGTATAAATCAGACCCCTTGATTTGAAGAAATCTACAGTATTATCATCCACCATACTATTAAAGCAAAAGGTATGAGACTTTAAACAGTGAAACACTAGATTATGAGGTACAAATCATGAGTATTCCATGTACTGCTAGTGCCAAGGTATAATAGTTCAATCCTTAAGCAAAGTGACTTTGATATCTTATTTTAGAGCTAAGAAAAAAATAATCATAAGCCAAGTGTGGTGGTTACATACCTGTAATTCCAGCTACTTAGGAGGCTGAGGCAAGAAGGTCACAAGTTTGAGCCTAACCTGGGCAATTTAATGAGACGGTAAATTAAAAAATTTTTTAAATAAGATTGGATGAGGATGTAGCTTGGCAGTAAAGCCAGTAGCCTTGCATCCTTCAGGTCCTGGGTTCAATCTCTAAAACTGGAGAAAAAAATTAAAAAATAAACATTGCTTATATCAGCTTTTTCTCCATAGAAAAATAGGGAAACTAAGGCAGAGACATGTAGTGTGGCTTAATAAAAAGAATCATCGGGGCTGGGGATTTAGCTTAGTGGCACTGTGCCTGCCTTGCAAGCACAAGGTTCTGAGTTCGATCCCGGTACAAAAAAAAAGGAATCATCATTGCAATATGTGGCTTTATTCATACTTCACGTGTTCAATAGCCATATGTATCTAATGGCTTGCATACCATATAGTACATTTTGAGAGTCTTACATAGATTTTTAGGAGTACTGAATCACTTCTTCCTTCTCCTTTTTTATTTTCCTGTTACCGGGGATCGAACTCGGGACATTGCGCTTGCTAGGCAGGTGTGGCACCACTGAGCTAAATCCCTGGCCCACTTCACCATTGATAGAAAATGGATTAGATCTTAGCCTGGAATAGTTAGGAAATGAGTAGACCACCTTGGTCTAGAGTTTGAAACTTACAGAAAGACTGCCTAGAAAACAACTTTATGTGTTATTTTTTACTCCATCAGTTCCTTAGAGTAATAGATAGATGTATAAACCTTACTTTTGTTTTTTAACTCACACTGTATAACAAATCAACCTAAATCATGTAAGGTAGCCATCATTTTATTTAGCACATGATTCTGCTTTTCTGTTGTTTCTGTCTGGTCTGAATCCTCTCCTGAGTTTGTGGTCATTTGGCAGGATAGTCTATGGTTGGCTGAAATAATAGAACTGTTTCATTGCCCAGCAGGCCAGCGCAGCCTCTTGATACACTGACTAAGTTTCAGAAGTATTGAGAAAGGGCAAGCTTCACTGCATAAGCAATTTTCAAACATTGGTAGCTTCCGTGTTTCATTGGAGCCAAGAAAGACACAGACAAACAGATTCAAGGTTGGCTGGATAGACTCTATATGTTTTTATATTTTATATTAGGGCCATTATTTGTATTTTAGGATGGGGGGGGTGTCTTTTGAAATTATTACCACCAATAACAACTCAGTAATCATTCTGCTCCTTTTTTTTTTTTTTTTGGTATCGGGGATCGAACTCGGGTCCTTGCGCTTTCACAGCAGGCGTCAAAACCACTGAGCTAAATCCCCGGCCCCTCTGCTCCTTCTTTGACCTTAACTATATATGTAAATCTACCTCATCTTTCTGCAATTATTCCCACTCTGCCAGTCTTTCCTTTCAGGAGTATTTATATGTACACATAGTTTTCCTTGAGCTTATTAGTGTTTTTATTTCCTGAATCTGAAGATTGCCTAATAATTCAAATAATGTACAATGCAATATAAGAAAACAAAAACTAGCCTATAAAAAAGAAGAGCTTGCCAGGGGATATGGTAGGAGGAGTTCAAGGCCAGCCTGGACTGCATAGTGGGCTCAAGGCCCCTCTGAACTACATAGGGAGATCTTGTCTTAAAAATAAATAAATATTGAAAAGAAGAGCTTGTTGATTTGAACTTAATGTATTTGCCATATCTAATATTCTTCATTCATTTGTAGATGGAGATTTACATCTATAGTGTAACTTTTTTCAATCTGAAGGACTTTCTTAAACATTTCCTATAGTTCAGATCTTCTGGTAATGGAATTCTCTCATCTTTTCTATGCCTGAAAATGTCTTTTTGTTGTTGTTGATTTGTTTGTTTGTTTGTTTGTTTGTTTTTGGAGACAGGGTCCTGCTATTGGTTCAGACTGGCCTTGAACTCACTATGTAGCCCGGACTGGCCTCGAACTTAGGGCACTTCTCTTGCATCAGCCTCCTGAGTGCTGGGATTACAGGCATGCACTACCACGCCAGCCTGAAAAAGTCTTTGTTCCATATTCATTTTGGAAAGTTGTTTTCACAGGATATAAAGTTTGAGGTTGCTTGAATTCCTTCCCGCTTCTGTTAGTATACTATCCTCTCCCCAAGCACTCACCCCATGCTGGATAAGCTACCACTGAACTATATCCCCAGACCCCTTTTAGTACTTTAAAAATGGTGCTCCATTTTTTTCTGGGTCCCGTTGTTTCTAACAAGGTATTTTTGTTTCTAACAAGGTATTTTTGTTGTTTTTCCTGTATGTGATTTACTTCTATTTCTCAAACTACTTTTAGAGTTTCTCTTTATTGTTCACTTCGGGTGATGCATTATAATGTATTGAAGTGGGTTTTTTTTTTTTTTTTTTTTTGGGTACTGGGGATCGAACTCAGGTCCTTGGGCTTGTTCAGCAGGCGGTGAAACCACTGAGCTAAATCCCCGGCCCTGAAGTGGGGTTTCCTTCTCGTTTCTTGTACTTTGAGGCTCTTTGAGCTTCTAGAGTATATGGGTTTATATATATATATCCTTCTGATTATTTTGTGGGGTTTTTTTTTTTTTTGGTACCAGGGATCGAACTCGGGACCTTGCGCTTTTGAGGCAGGCAGGCAGCAGAACCACTGAGCTAAATCCCAGGCTCTCTTTTTTGTATTTTTAAGAAAAGGCTTGGAGCCAGGGATTTAGCTCAGTGGTTCTGCTGCCTGCCTACCTCGAAAGCGCAAGGTCCCGAGTTCGATCTCCGGTACAAAAAAAAAGGCTTTATTTTTATTTAATTTCTTTTGATTATTTTTGGAAACTCTTTTGTAAAACCCAAGGATTATTCTCTCTGGTTCTTTCCAAGAGTTCTTTCCTCAAATTCAGGGAATTTTCTCACTCACTGTGTGATCATTAAGCATTTGAAGATTCTTCGAGGTTGTGCTGAATAGCTTTCTCTTTGGTATTCTCCTCTGTAAACTCTAGTCTTTGTAGATCCTTACCCTGTACTATAGCCTAGAAACTTACGGTAAGCTAGAAAAATTGCACCATGTATGTGCATGGTGTCTGATATCTGAAAGCTGCTGTTTCATGTTTTGTCTGGTTTTTAGTCATTATAGATACTAGGGAAAATCCTATTTATGCAGTTGACTCTTGCCATAAGTGAAAGTCTAAGCTTACTGATTAAACTGGTTGAATTTGTGGAATCATTTTAAATCTCTTTGTCTTTGCATTCCTTAACTAACCTCAAATATTTATGTGTCTGAGAGCCAGGTACTTGGGTTTTTGCATTGTTTGCATCAAGTTCTCCAATTTCCCCAAGCCAGATACCAATTTATAAAACTATAATTGATCCCTCACAATCTTGGCATTTTGTAAATAAGATATTTGAGAGAGGGTGTACAAAATAAGCGTGTTCCTCCGAATTGTAGAAAACACACTGCCTTTAACAGTGTGAACAGATTTTCTGCAACTTTTCAATTTTTATCTTTGAATGTTACCACTTAATGCTAGACAAGTCAGTTTTACTGTTTCAGGTTAATTAGGTGATTTAAACCTCCCCGTGTATTTATAAAAGTATAAGTATCATTTTTCTTGAGATTCTTGTTCCTTTCAGGTCAGTGTGTGGGTGCATGTATGTGTATGTACTTGTACAGCATGCACTTCACTAAAAATTAGGATGATCTTAATTTTTGTGAAATACTTTACAATACCTTACAGTTATAAACAACACAGGTAGAAGTACAGCAGCCAAAATTTCTTTGTCATTATTGACATTTTCTCAATTGAAAATTCTTTTACATTGAGATTTTTTTAAACTGGAAAGTTTGTCTTTCTGTTTGTATGCTTCAATTTTTGTTTCCTTTTTTAGCAATAGCCACAATAAGAAGGTACAACTGCACATGCTAGACTTGATGAGTTCTATCATCATGGAAGGTGATGGAGTTACTCAAGAATTATTGGACTCCATACTTATCAACCTCATACCTGCACATAAGGTCTGTATATTATGGAGATAAGAAAGATTAATATTGAAAGGTAGCGCTATGATTGATTGTGAAAATTTGTAATCACATGTAATCATTTCCAGTGTCACCCTCTTGTCCTAAATAAAATAGAGCTGTGCATATGTCTTGTAGCTGTTATTTTTAGAAGGTATGCTTATGCTTAAGATTATGTAAGATACGCTTAAGATTATGTAGGATTTTAATTCAGTTAAGTTCTTGTTTCTAGAGACTGGGAATATTTTGTATTCACCACTCATAACCCATTTGGGAATTATAAGGGGCTTTTGGGTGGTTTCTTTGTAGTATAGACTGGAAAAGAAATGTCGTTTTTCCTTTGTAACATAGATATGGAACATAGGAGTTTGGATTTCTTTTCCAACCTCATATTGTACCTTTTTCTGAGGCATTTTCAGAAAAAGATTTGGGCAGAAGTGGGAGCAGGGTAGTTAATGTTAAGGAGAAAATGAGCCGTATCTTTCTTCCTGTTTCCTTTCTCTATTCACTCCATCAGGTCCTCATAAGAAACTGAAGGACTTGACTTTCCACAGGCTTCCCCACTGGGCTCTTCTCAGCACCTCCCCAAGACCCCCCATCCCCACCCCCAAAGTGTTGATATTTTCCCTCCTGCTCTTTTAGTGTAATGGTTCAATAATCTGTCATCAGATGTTAGTTGAACAGTGTGTCTAACTATACTTATTCCAAAAATACAATTAATTTCAAATTCTTCTCTTGATTTGCATTTTATTAACTCAAATGAGTATAGTTGGTAAAAAAACTAGAGAATGTCTAAAAGGAGGATATCAGGCAGAATAAGAAAAAACTAGACAGGAAGTAGTATGTTTGGTGTTCATATTTTAGCTAGATATATTCTAGTATTTTATGAATAGAAGTATGTACCCTTTAAAGAAACAAATAATTAACTTTAGTTAATTTATCCTTTGCCAATGGAATAAAAGCCTAGAGCAGGGGTCAGGAAGCTATGGCTTGTGGATCAAATCTGGACTATTAACGTACTTATGTAAGTATAGTAGTCCTCTCTTATTCATGGCTTTACTTTCCACATTTTTAGTTACACAAGGTCAATCACTGTCCAGAAACATTATATGGAAAAATTCTAGAAATAATGCATAAATTTGAAATCACATACTATTCTGACTAGTGTGATGAAATAGCACACTGTCCAGCTCCATCCTGGCCAGTACGAATCATCTCATTGTTCAGTGTACCTACATTGTATACACCACCTACCCATTAGTGATTTATAGTCAAAGTCAGGTGTTAGAAGGATTAGTATTACAATGTTTGCGTTTAAGTAACCTTTATTTTACTTATTATGGCCCAAAAGGTTCAGAGTCGTGTGGCTGGTAGTTTAGATAGTTCTAGAGAGAAACCATAAGATGCTTTTATTTAAGTGAAAAGGTAAAAGTTCTTGACCTAATAAGGAAAGAAAAAAAAAGAAAAGAAAAAAGTAAAAATCATGTGCTGATGTCACTAAACATCTATTGTAAAATGAATAGGAAAAAAAAGGTTGTAGGTTCCAAAACTGAAATGCTATAAAATCCCAAATCTTTTGATTGCCACCATGACATCACAAGTGGAAAATTCCTCCACTGACCTTCTGTGATGAGCTGTAATGAAAACACAAGAGGACCAAAATACTGTATAAAATTACCTTCAGGGAGGCCGGGAATTTAGCTCATTGGTTCCGGCACCTGCTTTGCAAGCACAAGGTCCTGAGTTTGATCCCCAGTATGCCCCCCCCCCCCAAAATTCTAAAATTACCTTCATGCTTTGTGTAAAGAGGGTTTGTTTGTTGTGGGGGCGGGTACCGGGGATCAAGCTCAGGACCTTGCGCTTGCAAGGCAGTTGCAGTTCCACTGAGCTAAATCCCCAGCCCATGCAAAGAGGGTTTATATGAAGCCTAAGTGAATTTCATGTTGAGACTTGGGTCCCATCTCCAAGGTTCCTTATGGTTGATATGCAGCTGTTCCAAAATCAGCAATCAAACATTTTTGGTTCCAAGCTCTTCAAATAAGGAATATTCTATTTGTATTCAGTTTAGTACCATCTATAGTTTCAGGCATCTAACAGATCTTGAAACACTTCTCCCAAGGATAAAATGGTATTTTCAGAGCACAGCCATGCTCATTTGTTTTTCTTTTGTTTATGCTGTTTTCACACTATACCAGCAGAATTGTGTAATTGCAGCATATTGGGTGAAGGCCCAACCAGTTATTGGGGGATACCCCATTGCCTGACTGGATGGGTACAGCAGAGGATAAATGAATAAAGTATAAGGAATTGTTTATTACTTGTGGGGCCAGGATCTGATCTTAGCTCTCTCCTGGCTAAAACCACTTGATCTTAGCTCTTTCCTGGCTAAGATCACAATCTCTGGATTTGTCAGTATTTATGATTATACAGCATAGAAAGGGGTATAAAGAGGCAGATGTAAGGAATAGCAGAACTAATGGATTAATGAGCCAGGCTTGTAGAAGTGGAGTAACTATGTATTTTTGTGAAGGACGGTGATAGTTAACAATTCACCTGTGTTACCTTTAGCTAACATTTGATCTTGGAGATAGGGTATACAAGAGTCATAATTCCTCAGCTCTAGTGTCATCTTGCTATTTAGAGATGTCACAATCTCATCAATCATTGATACCTTTTTTTTTTTTGGTACCGGGGATCGAACTCGGGTCCTTG